AAAAAAAAAAAAAAAAAAAAAAAGAATTTTAGGTTTTATCAGTTATGCTTAATCCTAATTTTAAAAACTATCAAATAATCAGAACCCCCAAATGTATACGTTGATATATATTTAACTTTTAACCCAACAATGCTACTTTAATGAAATCTATTATGGATATATGCAAAGATTTAGTCAAAACTGTTCTACAGATTATAATTTAATGGAAAAACTAGATACAGGGGCTGGGGACATAGTATAGTGGTAGAGCATATGATTAGCTGCATTCAGTGCTCAGCACAAAACAAAATAGCACCACAAATAAACAGACAAAAAACAACAATGGATACTCTATACAGTTATGGTCAAAAGTCAATCTGTGACTAAAAACAATGTTGTCAAAAAATATTTACGGGGGCGGGAGAGATGGTTCAGTGGAATATAGGCTTCCCTGGCAAGCGCAAGGGCCTGAGTTCAATCCCCAGTTCAAAAAAAAAAAAAAAAAAAAATTTACTAACAGAAAATTCAAGATACAGTTATGGCAAGTTATAAAACTAGGTATGCATGTTAATCTGCACTGAAGACATCTGAAGCAAGAGCTACCTGGAGGAGAGCCCATGAGTCTTCCAGATACATCTGACCCTGGCAGTTTCCTCTTCAGAATGGGAACAATCTTCTCATCGAAGTATTCCATGGCCATGGAGGAAATGTCCCTTAACTCCTGGAGGACTTCATGAGCTCGCTGTGGGGCTCTGGTAGAATTGACATACCTCAACACACGGTAGATCTCATCAATCACCTAAAACAAGGAGTTCTCATTAGCACTTTAAGAAAATGCTAAGCAGACAAGACACGATGGCTGGTTCTGCAGATGCTGTGGAGATGTACTGGCCATGTGTGACAGTATAGCTAGCCAAAAAGCTTCTGCCTTCTTATACTGCTTTATAGTCAGATTTACTGAACACCCTTTATTTTTTCCAGGCAAGTGCTTTATTCTACTGAGCTATCTCCCTGGCCCCCACCCTTTATTTTTGAAATTAGTCTCACTATGTAGTTCAACTGGCCTTGACCTTACTATGGAGCTCAGACTGTCTCCAACTCTTGATCCTCCTGCTTTAGTCCTCCAAGTGATGAAATTAGGCTATGCACTACTACATCCAGCTTACTAAGGACCTTTTAGGAACAGGGCCCCCATAGGGCTGAGGAATCAGGACAAATAAGAGCTCTTGCCCTACAGGACAGCAGAGTAACTGGAGAGATGTATGTAAACATAAATGGCACAGACGGTCCTCAAATTGTTAAAGAAACCAGAGGACTGAAGAAAATTTAAATCCCATATGAATTTAGGGAGTAGGGGTGGGGGTGGGCCCAAACCGTACTCCAGTAACTCTCAATGAGTCCACTTCCAAAAGCTCCAAGGAGTCAGTTTGAGTTCTTTCTCCCTTCTGCACTGCCTGCTATACATTCTATGCCCTGAAGTTTGGTTCTCTAAGCGTTGCCATGGTTTGCAATAGGATTCCTCAGACCATGCTTCCTTGCCATCACCAATGGGTAGCAAAAACTCTTCTGACTTACCAGCAGTTACTGTTAAGGGAACGACAAGGCACAACACACAGAGAGAAGGGGAAGTTCTTACAGCCCTGATTTCTGACTCTCGCTAGAAAGGAACTTAACTGCCCTGGGCATTTATGCTCTCAGCTTTTATCCCTGTAAAGGGAGCCTGAGTTCTTCCAAAGGCTTCTCCAGAGACCTGATGGAGACATGCCTCACCAGAGATGCCATGCAGGTGACTATTGCATGAGAGAGAATGAGGGGCTGAGAGCCATGCCACCTGTCACCCGGATCCTAGACAACCTGGAACCATACAATTTCGTCCACTCTCCACTCAGGATGTCTCGGTCTCCCTTCCCTTCTCATCCAGGCTGAGTACTGCTGCAGACACAACCCAGAAGAGCAGCAGCTGCCCAAGCCCACAGCCTCGGAGCCCTGTGATGATCCACATCACCTACAGTGATGCTCACTCAACAGATGCCAGGAACAATGAACCAGAAGCACACCCACAGAAGACGGCAGAGTAGGCCAGGTGTGAGGGTGGGAAGTGCCCAGGAACTGGCCTGGGCACAAGCGGTTGTGCCTGGGGAGGGTACGGAGATCAGACAGCGGTCTATGTAACAATGACAGTAGGCAGCTGGAGTGAGCACTGCGGAGGGTGGTGTGGCCGCGGTAGCCCACGGCAGTCAGAGGCACCAGCAGTGCACCAGGAAACATGTAAACAAGTGCAGCAGCATCGAGTCCAAGGCACCAATATCTGTTTCTGACACTATTACTTCACACGGAACTCACTTCTGAAGAAGCGAGTTTTTTTTTTTTTTTAATGTATTTGGCACAGGGTCTCACTATGCAGCTTGGACTCAAAGTGATCCTCCTGTCTCAGCCTCCCCAGTGCTGGGATTACAGGCTTGTGCCACCACACCCAGTCTTGGTGGCCAGCTCAGCGCACCTGGAGGAGGGGCTGGTGCAGCATGTGGTGCTGGGGGTCAATCCCAGTCCCTGTACTTGCCTAAGCAGGCACTTAGATCCTGTGCTATCTTGCCAGCCTCTGAAGAAGGTAATTTTTAATAACTTACTCTATATTAGAAACGTCTACCCATATTAAGAGAAATGAAGTCACTTCCAAGCTCCCTGTAGCACTGTGACCACACCCTAGGCCAACAGCGGTGAGCTGCGGCTCATGAGCCACAGCAGGTTGGCTGTAGCAATGTAAGCTCTGAAGGGTTTGCCACCACGGCCTCAGATAAGCCAAGTGTCACTCAAGCACACCAAGCTGCTCCCGTGATGTCCTGATTCTGCATACTGGGTAAAAAACAAAACGAAACAAAGAAAACAGGATAATGAAATCGTTATTCTTACGAAAATTAAGCAAACGTAATAAAAATCATTTTGGATAGTTTCCGAGAAAGAGAGGGTCATGTGATTTTGCCTCCTAGGGTAGATGGGGCTAGGGAGGCTTCTCTGAGGCACTGAAGTAGCCTGGTATAAAGCAGCACTGGTCACTCTGAGGCCTGGGAGAGCAGTCTCGAGGTCAGGGTCAGCTCAGCTTACTACCAGTATGAGTTTTATTGTACATACATGTGTGTATGTGTATCTCTAAATATGTGTGTGTGTGTGTATATATATATATATATTTCCCCCCCCAGAACCAAGGATTGAACTAAGGATCCTGCGATTGCCAGGCAAGTGCTTATTCTACCTATCTCCCCAACCCCTCCAAATAAATATTTAAGAAAATTAGTAGAAGCTTAAAGTTGTAAAAATTATGTAATACTCAAAAATAAAGAAATGGCTAAATAACTGGGTGTTGTGGCACATGCCTGTAATTCTAGCACTCAGGAGGCTGAGGCAGTAGAATTGTCACTCACTTGAGGCTACCCTGGATCACACAGCAAGACTGTCTCCAAAAAAAAGTCTAATATGGTTAAAAATACAATTCAAAATTATTTATTTATTGAGTACCAAGAATCAAAGTCAGGAACTTGCACTTGCCAGTCAGGCACTTTATCCTGCTGAGCCATCTCCCCAGCTCCACAAGAGTATTTTTAAAAAAGTTTTCATATTGACGAGAATTTTATGTGCTAGTGCTAGCATATAAGTATCTGAACTCGGATATTAATTGACCATAATAATTTTTTTAATCAAAGTATTGGGAAAAGCACTGTCATGCTTCACTGCTTTTTAAAATGTTGTCCCCACTGCTCGGATACTGTACCCAGAGCCAAACACTGGTCATCTTCTCTTGCATTAAGTCAGCCCCCTACATTCTTGCCAAGGGTGTTTATAGATTTTGACCCCTTGGCTGGAATATTCTCCTTCTGCATCTCTTCCAAACCAAATTACTTGCCCATTCTTCTTTTTTGGTTTTCTGAGATAAGAGTCTCACTAAGTATTTCATGTTGGTCTCAAACCCACGATGATCCTTCTGCCTCAGCCTGAGTGCTGGGATTACACGTGTGTGCTACCAGCTTGGCTTCCCTGCTAATTCCTGAGGTCTTAGCGACATCCTACTTTCTCAGAATAAACCCTCTCAATTTAAACATCTTCATTAAATCTTTCATTATCCCTTCAGGCACAGTGACCAATGTAAATTTGTTTGTTAATCTGTCTTCTGCATATCATAGTTAAACTCTGGGACAGAATAGAGCACACCTGGTTTCACTATCAGACCCAGGCCTAGCAGTGTGGCATATGGCAGACACTCAACAGACAGGTCAGTATTTCAACTGTTTGATACGTGGCTCAACTAGAGTTACACTCATACAACAGTATGGTTTTAGAGGGCAGACTCTGAACACAAAGGTCAGAGTTCACAGGATTTCTTTCTTTTCTTTGGTGGAACTGAGGATTGAACACAGGCCCTTGCGCTTGCCAGGGAAGCACTTATTCCACTGAGCCATCTCCCCGGCCCAGGATTTCTTTCTACTGAGGAATTTCTGAAGATACAAATAAACAGTACTTACACATTTAATATAGCACATCTGTATTAATAAAGCTCTAGCTATTATGTTTATGTACATATCATAGCATGAGTGAACTAGATTGGGAATGACTGCTATTGATGGTTCAGGCATGAGAAGACACAGATTCTAAGCTGTGAAGACAAGAACTTCTTAGCAAAACATGGGTCAGACATATTGTAAGAAGTTTCATGAAAGCAAAGTGTTGCATGAAAATAAGAAAGCAGAGCTAAGACCTGTTTGAGAGTAGCAGGTAGGCCTGAGGCAGGCCAGGAGGTAGCAGGAAGCCATCTGTTCTGTGGGGTCCAACGCTGATTTCTCAGGACAAATTTCAGATCAATATATCCCACAGGCACTGTTACCTCACACTAAATTATATTTATACGCTGTGAAATATTTACTGTTTACCCTTCCAAAAAGTGTGGAAAAAAAGCTTATTTCTTTGTAATTACTCAAATCTTCCAAATACTAACAGGTAATACTTTCAAATCTTTATACCATACAGATTTTAGTCAATAGGATGGATAATTCACATTGTTAATAAAATTTAAAATGGTTTCTTTCTTCACCCAAAAGCTACGAGCAGGGGACAAGATAATGGAAACCATAGTGTGTGGAAAACTATATAGTGTGTCTCCCACAACTGTCAGCATCTGCAGTGGCATAAAGCATGGATTTATCACATTTTAAAAATAGTTCACACTTTCTGAGTAAGTCTGGTCATTTCCATGTATTATTTTGAGGTCCAGTGAAAAGAATACAGGCCTCAGTCAGGGCACTTGATGGCTGTTTCTCGACCTTTAAAACAGTATGTCACATACTGAGTCTTACCTTGGCTGCACATCATAAAGTAAGTTACTCATGGATTGATTAAATCTGACTGATTGACTGCTATACTGGGGACTGAATCCAGGGCTTTTAGGCTAAGCTATATCCCCATCTCTTTTAAAATTTTTTACACTGAGATGGAATCTCATTCATTGGCTGAGTTTCCCAGACTGGGCTTGAGCCTGCGAGCCTCCAGCCTTCAACTCCCAGAGTGCTGGAATCACAGATGCGTACCATCACACCTGGATTGAAAAGTATTTTTAAATTTTAAAAAGGTATGACACAAAACAAGTGGAACAATTACATTCTTATACACAGTTCACTGTGTCATGTGTATATTTAAATTAGCACAGGAATAGATGAAATACTATCATTTAAGCCTTTAGGATACTGTGAGTGAAAGAGGATCCTTTTAAATCTATTGTTTAGCAAACAAAGACTGTATTAGACTAATGAACCT